GAGTTTCATGCTCTCCAGCCTGGGGAAGGTCTAGGACTGCTGTCCCTGTGGCTGACCTCTGTCATCAGCTGGGGAGCTGGTGACAGCTTTTTCAGGGTCAGTCTCTCTGAATCAGGGAGCAAGTTTGTCTTGGTTGAAGCTGAGACATGCCAGGATCCTCAGCTCATTCTGGGCCTTAAGAAGAAGGTCCAGGAAGAGCCTAGGGCCCATCCTCCTGCTTGCACCCAGCTGCCATCTCTTTGCAGAAGCTCATTGTCCTGCTGTAACACAGAGTTTCTTGCTTCATCAGAGAAACAAAGAGTTATTAGAAAAGGAGACTAAACTGTCTTTGTCTTCGTTGCGACTTTCCCTGACTTTTGCTGGGGGGCAGGATGGAGAACCTCCTGCTTCCTCTGCCCCTCTAGTGTCCCCAGGGCCAGCTCAGGATGGCAGCCCAGGTCCTGCCCAGCCTCCTGCCTTCATTTGCAGCTTAATTGTTGCCTGAAATATAGATGGTGGAGCCAATGGTGGAGCACTCCCATGGGCTGCCAGAGGAGCTGCTGGCTGGGCAGCTTATCAACAGCTGCAGCTCCTCCAGGGGTGGGAAGGTGCCTTCAAAGTCCCAGCCCTCTGCTCCTAGAGAGGATGGACAGATGGTGGCCAGTTTGTAGCCACGTGTCCCCAGGGCATCTGCTCAGCTTCTCCCCTGCTCTATAAGAAGGGTCTCCTGCCAGGGGTGATGGTGGCACGGGGGCTCCAGGGGACCACAGAGATGCATTCCAGCTGAAATGTGTAAGGCCAAGGTATTTTAAGTGTATGGCTTAACGAAAATGGTGGTGAGCTTTGCTGGGGCAGATTGACAATCAATTTCTTCTCTTTTTTTGCAGAGCCATAAAAATTCCATTTCTGCTGTGGAAAGTTTTAACCCCTTCCTTATCCTGGAACTTGTTTTAAGGGTATTAATGGGGATTATTTTAGCCAGTGGCTCCCCAGTGAACTGTTACAAGATTTCTGGGGGAATGTGTGTGGGTTTTGTGCTGGGCTTTTTATCTGGACCTTGTTTTAGTGACCTGTGTGTGGCTGTAACCATCCTTCTGCCATGCTCCTGTGAGGTGGGTCATGTCAGCATGTGTCTGTGCTGTGGCAGAGGGGAGAAAAAAGACACAGCAGCTATCTAATACTAAAGAATGAAACTGAATAAAGACCTTAGCTATTGAGAGAGGGTGTAACTGAGGTCCATGGCCAGGAGCATGATGCTGCCCTGAGACAGGTGTATAGGAGGGTAGGACATGAAAATAGGGGGTAGGGACACCTTTGGATGTTCTGCTTCATCTCATCAGGTGCCCAGTTGGGCACTCTAGTCCCTGTCATGTTTGGAGCATTCAATGTTTTGTTGGTTTTTTTTAACTTGTGTGGCCATCTTAAATGTGTTTTGAAAGCCCCTGAGTGTGGTTTGGGGTTTTGGGGAGGAAAGAAGGGCTGGCATCACCCGTTTCCTCAGGGTCTCTGCTTGGAAAAACAACACGGCGCCACTTGTGACTGTTTCATCTGTGCAAAAAATGGGAATATTCCTCAAAGCACCACAGCAAACTTCCCCTCTCACCCCTCTTCCCTTAAGCAGCAAGATCTTACTTGCAGCCATATATTGTGGGGGCCGTTTGACCTGCTGAGAGGAGGTTTGGTGGCTTGGGAAGAGCCAAAGCATGAATCAGATTTTAATGGTGTGTTTTGTGATCTGCCCATGTTTTCCATCCTGCTTTTAAGTGCAACATCAGTGCAGGGTTTTGTTTTGGAAAAAAGCATCTTTCTTCTCTCTTTTAATGCACTGCTTTGAACTTCACTGGCATAGAGCACTCTCAAGTCACAAATAATCTAAAACCTCAAGTTATTTTCTTTACCTCCCCACTGCAGGGACCGAAAGCAGCAGCGCTGCAAACGCCACAGGGATGTACAGTATTTGCTCTTTCCATTGCTTCCCATACCCAGATTCCCTTTCCCTGAGCCATAGCAAGACTCTTTTCCCATTCAGTTCTGGTTTTGATTCTCCATCTTGCTTCCTATCTCGTTGTTTTTTTTTACCTTAAATGATTTGAATTTCCTCTGGGGATGTGTCTGCTGGGAGGCACTGCCGCGGCGGGGGAAACGGCGGCTCAGAGGAACGAGTAAACAAGAGCCAGAGTTTCAGCTGGTCCATCTGATCAATAAAAGTGGCTTTGATGGGAGAGATAGCCCTGACGCCAGCCTGAACGTAGCTGGGAGAAGTTGTAGCTGCCTACAATGATAGTTGTTCAAAACGCTGTGTATACCATCGAGGGAGGCACTGCCGGACTCAAATATTTTTCTTTCTTCAAAAAGAAAGCTAACAAGCCTGCCTCTGTTCCAGGAGAAAAGGGGGGGCGAGGGGGGGGGGAAGTGGATTTTCTTGTCTGTGCATAAAGGACAGTGTGGAAAAAGAGGAGGAAAAGTGGAATATTTATTTAAAAGGCAGAGGACATGGTCGGCTGTCGGCTGAGTGATGGTGGCGAATAGCTGGAGGCCAAACTAAGACTTGGCAGAGGATGAGACACAGCACAGGCACCTGTGTGTTTGGGGCCTGCTGAAGTGTTTGCTTCATCTCAGGGCTGCGAGATGAGTTCAGCTTCTCAGGCTTTGGCTGAGATAAAAGAAGGAGAAGGAACCCACCACGGCATGGGGCAGCCAGCATGGGCGGTGATGGATGGGCCTGGGGAGAAGAGGGACCTGCCCAGAGTTCTCTGCAGGCAGAGGTTTTTCAGATCAGCCTTTAACTGTCTCCTCTCAGGGTGTTTTATTCGCCTGTGGGCCATGGGCAGGTTACTTTTGCAGCTGGTGTGTGTTTTTTAAAGCCTTTCTTCACCCCTGGCCAGGAGAAGTGGAGTGGAAAAGAAACTTTGAGTTACCTGATATGCAGGTACCTATAACTTGCATCCTTGCCTGTTTGAAGAAGCAGGGGTGCTTTGAGCTGGCAGTGCCAGTTAGGAGCTGTGACAGAGATGAGAAAGATCTTGACAGGGAGAATTTCACCCCTCAAGATGCGTGCATGGATGGATGGACTGAAGCATATGCCATAAATTGCGTGGAAGGGATTTTAATAAGGTTATTTTGGATGCATGAAAGCAGGAGATTTCAAAAAAACCTTCCCCTGTTTTCAGGGTGGGTGTAGATTGATGATTTTGCCAAAATATTTGCCAGTTCCTGGAAAACAGAGAGGGCTTCAGGGGGCAAAATACGACTGTCTGCGTGATGGGAAGGCCAAGGGATGTTATCAGAGAAGGTAAAAAGATTTTAGTCCATGCCAAACGGTTGATTTTGGGGGTTTGTACAGATGGAGCTAAAAATGGTCTTGATTCAGTAACATTCAGTTCAATAAGAGTGTTGGTCAGATTTGTGTCAGTGCCATAAACTTGATTAACATCATTTTTGCAGTTGCTGCAGAAATACTGCAGAGAGGTTCTAAATCTTCATACCACCAGTGTCATGAAAGTTTCAGTTCTTGGCAGGGCTTTTCCCCTGCCTTTAGAAGGCCCAGGACATCACCTCTCCTCCAGTGTTTAGGGAACATGAAGCTGTTGGCTTGTTCCTCCATGGAGCATTGCCATAAATGTAGGGAAGTGGTGTTTCTTTTCCCAGTGGGGCTGAAGTGTCTGATTGCTGGGGGGTCTGAATAAAATGAGCATTAAACTGGGCAGGGGCTGTTGGCTGGGTCCTAAAAATTATTTGAATAGATGATGGGAGGAGTAAGGGACTGATCTGGCATTTTTCAGGTGGTTTAGACCTGTGATGGGTGAAGGGTTTGGTGCAAGATGATGAGCATCACCCAGTGAAAACCCCACCCCCTTCTCCCTTCAGTCTCCCTCCCTTTAAATTTGTATAGTTACAACCTAAGTTAAACTCAAAGCTGCTTCATTCAAAAGCTGGTTAATGGGGAGGATTGCCCGTCCCCCTGCAGGGTCTTTTGAGCCTGAAGAGAAGTGGGGCTGTGCTGGAGACCCCGTGCCAGTGGGGTCCCTGGAGCCAAAGAACAGCATCAGCCCCGCACGGGTAATGGGAGGTGACGGCGCGAGGGCGGAGGGGTCAGCAGGCCACGGGCGCCTGCTGCATTGTCAGGGAGCTTAATGTGGGATGGAGCAGGCATGGCTGGAAGCAAAGCTCCTTGCTGGAAATCCCAGGGTGTTTTTCTGTGAACTGGTATGGCAGGAGCAGGAGTGCTGTGCGACAAGAAGTTAATTCGCCCTCTTTGGGGCTTTTTTAGGCCTGAGAGTTCCCATCTTCCTTCTGGAGGCATCATAAACTCCGGAGGCGTCATAACTTAAACAGATTTTTGGCAGTCTGCATCCCTCCTGTCTTCCTTGGATGTAATTCCTAGAAAGAAAAGCCATTTCTCATTGTTCTGGAGAGAGTTCCGATGGTTTTGTAGGAGGACATGTATAGTTCCTAGGAACTACTGCCCCTCAGCATGAAATGCCTCCTCAGATTTCATGTTCCCCATGGGAACATCAGCATCCCTGTCAAAGAATATTACATAGCTGAGATAACGGGTCAGTCATTCAAGCACTTCATGGACATCCCCTGTGTTACAGCTCAACACAAATTGGCCTTCAGAAAGGGGGTGCATCACCACAGCAATGCTGGAGGAGCTTGGGGACCCACCAAGCTCAGGGCTGGCTGGGTTGCAGTGATTTATCTGTAGTGGCTCTTGGTAGTAGTTCTCAGGGTCCTGGATGCAGGACTGGACATGAAATTAGAGGCATTGAGCTCTATTGGTCCTAGTGGGTGGTCACCAACCTTTGCTTGAGCTTGTTTTGTGGCAGCATTTGACATAATTGAAGGTGGGCTTTGGGTTGAAGTTGAGCTTTGGTTTGAACTTGAGCTTTGGGTTGAACACAAGTTCCATTCCCATGTGAGCAGAGCCGGTGGGTGGGACAAGCCATTTGCTTACCCCCCATACTGGTCTTTCCCCAGGCGACCACAGCAACCCCTGACTCTTCTCTGCTTCCCCCCAGACACCAGCACGTCGCCCGATGCCGTGAAGAGGAGCCATTGGTGCAACGTGGCCTACTGGGAGCACCGGACGCGCGTCGGCCGCCTCTACGCAGTGTACGAACAGTCTGTCAGTATCTTTTATGACCTACCTCAAGGAAACGGCTTCTGCCTCGGACAGCTAAACCTGGAAAACAGGAGCGAGACTGTGAGAAGGACTCGAAGTAAAATCGGCTACGGGATTTTACTGAGCAAAGAGCCGGACGGCGTGTGGGCCTATAACCGCAGCGAGCACCCCATCTTCGTCAACTCCCCGACACTGGACATCCCCAACTGTAGGACTCTGATCGTGCGCAAGGTGATGCCGGGATATTCCATCAAGGTGTTTGACTACGAGAAGTCCTGCCTCCTGCAGCACGTGGCCGAGCTGGATTACGCCGACGGGCCCTACGACCCCAACAGCGTGAGGATCAGCTTCGCCAAGGGCTGGGGGCCCTGCTACTCCAGACAGTTCATCACGTCGTGTCCTTGTTGGCTGGAGATTCTACTCAGTAACAGTCGGTAACAGCCTCTGAGGAGAGGAAAGAGAGAAAAAAGAGGAAAAAAAAAATTAAAAAAAAAAAGACACAGACTATCCCAAATATCATCTACCTAGATTTAATATAAAGTTTTATATATTATATGAAAATATATATTATACTTGTAATTATGGAGTCATTTTTACAATGTAATTATTTATGTATGGTGCAATGTGTATATGGACAAAAACCAGAAAATGCACTTTGGCTTATATAATTCTTTCAATACAGATTTTCTTTTTTTTTTTCTAAAAAGAAAAGAAAAATTATACAGCAAAAATAGGAGAAAACCCTAATTTTGATGTATGGTTTTTTGAAATATTATTAATACCCAGACAAAAAGCTAATACCAGTCACTCATTGATAATAAAGTATTCGCATTATGGGGGGGGGTTAATTGTCTTTTTTTTTGTCTTTTTTTTTTTTTTTTTGGCCCCCTGCCCCAAGTATGAAGCAGTGTCTGCTTGGGGGTTCTGCAGTCAGGAGGGTTTCCAGAGGGACAACCACTGCCTCCCATCTCAGCCAGGACCCCTTAGGAGTTGCTGGAAGCTGTGGTTGTCTCCAAGAGGAAGGTACATGAGGATGCTCTGGGAGCCAGGGAGCAAATGGAGAAGCTCAGAGGAAAATCTCCTGTAGTTCTTCTTGTTCAGGGCTCTTTGATCTCTCTGATAACACAAAACACCATGAGGATACAGTGAAGATGAACGTGCATCTGTGTGTGTGTGTGTGCAGATGAACAGGTATCAGTGCAAATCCACAGGTGTCAGAGTAGTGGGATGAGCAGAATAGACCACGGCCCAGTTTGCATCATCAGCCTTGCACTGGGGGTGTCTGGGAGTTCAGCATCTCCTGCACGTGTCTGATGGTTGAGAAACAAATGCTGGTTTTGGACAACTCATGGTTGGGTGGATCCTCAGCTGGAGACACCGTAGTCTGGCCTGAATTTTGGGAACCTCTCCAGGAACTTGAAGCAAGGCGGAGGTGGGTTGGCTGGGTTGCCTGTGGATTTGGCCTGTAGATCCCCTGGTCTGTTATCCAGGCAATAAACTGATACAGAATTGTTTGGGCAGAACATACTTGCTCTGAGGAGCAGTTGCAAGCTGGAAGTAGCCCTGGCCAAATGAGCTTGTCTCAGCTGATTTACTCTCTCCTGGACATCCTGGATTAAATCAGGCCCTTTGCTGCCCTGGGTGTTGCTGTCAGGGCTGCAGCACCTGTGCTGTGTGGGCAGGTGGGACGTTGCAGGGCCTGGCTGGGTGAGTGGAGTTAGATCTTGCTGGTGACTGGGGTTGCCAAATCTTAGGGTTGTATTTCAAGTCCCTGTACCTTTGATTTTCATGAGCTCCTGGCCTCTGGTGACTGCAGAAGCACCTCAGCTTGCAACGCTACAGAAGATGTTTTTGAAGATTACAGCATGAGATGAGCCCTCCTCTGTGGCTCAGAACTTGGAGAGAGAGTAAAGCAGGACATAAACTTGCTATTAAAAAGCTCTCCTGGTGTGTGTCAGGGTCCTGCATGTTAGGAGCTGGAGCTGGTGTTTCTGCAGCAGCTACAAGCAAGGATGGGGAAGGTGGGGACCACATCTCCAGGGATGGGAGCTGCATCCCCCCGGGGGAGGGAACCACATCCCTCCAGGGAGCTGCACAGACCTGGGTTGGGCGTCGGGCAGGGACACGAGCAGGGAATGTTGCAATGACATTTCCACAGTCATTTTTCAAATTATAACCGTACTTGATATTTAATTGGGACCACATTGGTGAAGTTCATGCAGCACCAGTATTAGCACTTGACATCATTAATTTATGTTTGTGTTACAGCCATTGTTGTCAGGGAACGGTGTCAAAACATGTCACTATCATTTAAAGCCAGCTTTCAAGAGCTTTGCAGGGGTTTTTTTTATCCCCTTTGGATCAGATCCTGCATGTCCTGCCATACCACCTACCTCACTCCCTGTATCACTTTCAGGCAGTCGGTCAAAGGGCCATTTTTATGCCTTTTTTTTTTTAAAAAAAAGATTTTTATTAATGTTATCCTCATTTTAACTGGGAAGAACCAGCCAAAAGCTGAGTTGCATCTCCCTGTTTGCTTTTCTCTTTCCCAGCTTTTCCTACCACCCCCCAGAAGGTTTTTGCATTCACATGCTGAGTTGGCTGCTGCCTTTCTCTCTGTCCTCCTCTTCACACACACAGAGCAAGGCCATCTCTGGCCATTTTCTACCATCTTTTCAGACAAAATGGCACCAAGGGTGGACATTGTGTGCCACCAAAGGCCTCATCCCTGTACCCACAGAAGCTCTCCCTCAGATGCCACTGATTTTTCCTGACTTAACTCCTTGCATGTGTGGTGTGCTCAGGTGCCTCTCAGCTCCACGTCAGGTTTCCATCAGCAGAAGGGTTTTTCTGGGTCAAAATATGAGGGTTAACTTCAGGGTTTCCCTCATGGAATCCACTGATGAAGCTTCATTTCTTTTTTCCCCCCTTTATTTCTTATTACTCATGTGCTTCCCCAGGCATAAATCCAGAGTTTTAGTTCAGTGGACAACTGAACTAAAAGTTCAAGGGAATAACAAAGGGGTTTACATTGAGGCTATAAGACATCAGGTAGTTTCTGTCCCATTTCTCCCTGTAATCATTCAAACTTGAGGCCCTTTAAAGAAACTTCAGGCCTTCCAGAGTATTAAAGTCTGCCCTGGACCCTCACAAAGCTCAGCCCTGTGCAATGCCTCGTGCCAGGTCTGAACCCAGGGGGCTGTTGGGTGACTTTAAGTTGGCACTTGGGGTGGAAAGGAAGACAATTCTTCCCCTGCCCGGGTTTGCAGGAGCAGCTGAGCATCGTTAGGCCTGGCTAACGAGCCTCGTGTGCACCCGCAGCTGCAGGGGTTTGCTCATCTGCCCCAGGCTCTGTGACAACAAGATGGCCCCCAGCTCCTGGCCTCTAAACGTGGTGTCTTCTTGGAACAGTTGTGGTCTTCCAATCCCTGAGGTAAGTGCCATGTTATTCCTTAAAGTTCTGTCTGGGGTTACACCGATTTAAGGGGAGAAATGGGAGCAGTTTCTTGGTGGGGGGTGCTGGGCTGTTTCTACCCGGTCTGTGCTTGGACTGAGCTCCTGATGCTGCTCTGGGTGCTGCAGGGTTTTGTGTGATTGCTTTTGAGCTGGAGCTGGATTAGCTGGGAAGGTTGTTGGGTCACTGACTACATGTATCCCCGAGAGCTTTTCTTGGAGGCCTGTTGGGCAGAGGAGCAGGGAGGTGCTTTTTTTGTGCCGGGCCACTCCTTGTGTTGCTGCAGGGGGTCAGACTGAGCTGCAGGAGGTGGATGTGGCAGCAGGAGGTGGATGTGGCACCACTTGGTAACGTGGCAGGATCCCTGTAACGGTCAGAGGAGGCACAGGGGCAGCAAATCCCTCAGCAAAGCCATCTTTGCACCTGTGCTGAAGGGCTTCAGCAGTCCCCTTGGAGCTTGCAGCTCCTCAGCTCCGTGTAGAGAGGCTGTGGCTTTGTTGTAGGATGGGGGGAATTGCTGCAGGGGTTTGGTGCCTCAGATGATCTTAAACCCGTGAGTCTCACCTGCCTGAGGCTGGGCCTCCTCAGGTGGAGCTTCCCCAGACCACAGCCCTCAAATTTCCTTGTGAAGGAGGAATAGGATCTTGATGCTGCCAAGGGGTCTGAGATTAATGGTGTGACTCGCCCTGACTGCTTTATGGGTCATCTGTGGAAGTGGTGGGACGTGGAGATGTTGTTCCAAGGTGGTTCTTGGGTAGCAAAACTCTCTGGACACCTTTCTCAGGATGTTACGGAGGTTGAAGGCTACATAGTCTGATTCTGGCTTCTCTGGGCCAAATGTACCCAAAGGCTGCTTGAGTGGAAATCCTGAATTCATAATTCTAGTATTGGACCCAAGACCTTATGGGGTTTGATTTGTGGAGTGTGTTTATTAGACAAGATCCTCCTGATTTGTGTAATGCTGCATTTTAAAGCTGTCAGTGCAATGGGCTGATGAGAAGCAGCCAGTTGCTGCTGGGAAGTCCCAGAGGCTGCTGCTTCTCCTGCAAGTTTTTCATCATCCCTGTCCGTGACATTCATTGCTGCTGTGACTGAGAAATGCTCTGCACCAGCCAGAACAGAAAAGAAAGGAATGCTAGAAGGAACTATGTTCAGCTCCTCTTGAAAAGAGAAGCCAAGATCCTGTTGTGGCCCAGGTTTTGCCAGAGTTCTCCAGGGCCTGTGGGTCTTTAGACCGTAGTGGTCCCTCTCAGTATTTTATCCCAGCAGTTAAAATGCAGGAGACTTGTTCAAGGCATAGTTAAAAGCTCAGAATTGCCCCCCACGTGTGTGTGGGCAAGGGGGGAAAAAATCCCCTCCCTGTTGGTGCTGAGGAAGGAGCTGGAGGTTTGTCTCAGGGTGTGATGCTGCTTGACTATGGAGCATCTGCAGCTCTTTATGTGGGGTGTGAATTAGTGTTTTTAACGTTTTTAATATAAATATTTAACAGAGCAGCAGAGTTGTTGAAGTGCTGGTGCATGTACCTGCCCTTCACAAAACTTCAGTGGGTCCCATAGGCTCAGGCTTTCTGCCAGCTCTGGAATTGTCACTGCAGGTGACAACTTCAAGCCAGCAGGTGGGACTGGAAGGGAGGAAGAGCTTGAAGAGCTGCCCAGGACACGGTGTGGTCCTGGCTCGGAGGGTGAAGCAGCGTGTGGGTGAAGCTGTTGCTTCCCTGCTGCCTCCAGGGGGTGGGAAATAAGCCTCAGGAGCCGGGGGATGGATTGGGTTTTTTTCTTTTAAATGCCAGGACCCAAAATCAACTGGTTTGATTACAACTTCTGTCTGTGAAAGGCCGTGGGGAGGGAGCTGCAGGCTGGGGCTGTGCAAGGAGCTGCTGGAGCCCTGTGGTGCTCCAGGGCTTGAGTGGGGCTGGTGGGGAATCTGCTCCTTCCTGGTTGCCCGACCTGCTTTTTAAGCTCAGTTTTCCAAGAAACTGGATGTGGGATGGCTGTGGAGCTGTGCTGGGGGATAAGCACCCTGGTGCCTTCACCCCATCCTTGTCCCTCCTGCCCCTTGTCTGAGCTGTTTGGGGACAGGAGTTGCCTCATGGTTGAACATGAACCGAGCCTGACTGATGGTCAACGTGGACCACAACCCTCCTAGAAAGCAAAAATCAAGATTTATCTGCATTTCCCCTCACTTGAGGTGGACTGGTGATCCCCCTGGTGATTCCCCACAAGGAAGGTGTGCTGGGAATGGCAGGGCACAGCAATGGGGTCTGCAGCACCCTCAGTCTTGTGACCCCTGCCCCAGCACCCCAAGAGTGGGTCCAGGAGCTTGTGACACAGCAGTTAACTGTGGAGCATCCAGGGTTATTTCCTGTAAATAACTCC